CTGATAGTAAAAGACAGCAGTGGTGGTAATCTTGCAGTAAACAACTTTCTGAAAGCCGAACAACACTAGCATCTGATCCACCGCTGAGTTCATCAACTGGTATCAGTCAGTCGTCGTTGGTGTTTTCATCCACAATGACAGAGACCTCCATTAGCTCAAGTGTCTTGTGCTTCGACTATGCTGGTGTCGGTGCCTTTGAAAGGACGAAAGATATTGCTCATTTTAGTGAGGATAAGCCAACTGTGCATGAGAGGGTAATTGTTAAACTGACTTGCACGAATAAAGGCCCTTCAAGTTTCAAATTACTACTTGAATGTTAGCATCTTTGGTGTAAATTACTCTGTGTCTTCGCTTTGTTGGTCAGATACGTCGTATGTTCGTTAGTCATCTATATTCCACAATACAATGATACGAGAATGTCACCGTTTAGAGTTGAGGATATAGATGATAGAAGGAGATCAGAAAACGAACTCAACGACGATTTTCCAGCCTAGGGCGTCAATCTGAGAAGGGTTGTAGGCATACTGCTGTAAGTTCTACAACTCTTCAAGGGTAGTACGTCAAAGCTCAGTCCATCGTACTTGGTGTGTTGTTTTGTACATATGTTCACGTTGTATATAGTGAATTGGTATCATCTTTCATCTATCTGTTGGTAATTTTGTTTGTGTCCGGACGTCTTTCACTTGGATCATCAACCTGAGAAGGAATGTAGGCGTACTGCTGTAAGTCCTACAGTTCTTCAAGGGTAGTTTGTCAAGGCAGAATCCACCACTTTGATGTGCTGATTGTACATATGTTTGTGTTAAATAATTGCGTGAGTTCCAATTATTGTAATTGTTGGTTAATCTTGTTTGTTTCCGGACATTCCACAAATTACAATCGTCATCCTGAGAAGGGTTGTAGGCGTACTGGTGTGAGTCCTGCGATTCTTCAAAGGAATTCCATCAAGACATGATCCGCGAGTTTGTGTGTACTGTTTGTATATATATGTGGTGTGTCATCAATTGGTGTTTTTTGGATTCATTGTGTTTACTCGTTGTTTTCGTACCTTGTTGTTATTGCATAATTTTGTTAAAATTTTCGTCGTGATTACTTCTGAAGTTGTTTCTTGTCGTCTACATCCGTGAATGAATTGATTGATGTTAAAGACAGCAGATGGCTCGTATACGCCTGGGAGGCAGGTGCTGAGTATGACATGCACACGGAGGTAAGGATTAGCTGTGGAGTCAATGACTGAGAATGAATGTTTCTATATAGGCTGTGGTCTCACACTCCGGGGAGTGAGAGTGTAGACGCCTGAGGCTTGCATACGTCACCGTTACTAGAACTGGGCAGAATGAGTGACGGGCGATCGCAGTGGTAATTGGTAGTGAATAGATAAGAGGATGTGTGAAGAGTATCATGGGATGCTGCTATGGTTGCGTTGCTTTCTGCAAGAGTCATTCTAGCAAGCGGCGATTGTGTTGCAAGATGTCAAGAGGATGCCTTTAACTGGAAGGCGTAGGTCGTCGTCAATGTATGAGATTGTGCCGTTGGTATGCCTGTGGTGTGTTGGCTTTGCTGTTTGTTTTCATTTCAACTTTGTCCGCGTGACCCAGGTTTTCGCACTCGCATCCAAGTCAACGTGTATTGGTCGTGATGGAAAAAAGGGATGGATCCGTTTTTTGCCGGGGAGTGTCAATGTAGTTGAAGATTGAACGATCAATTCATGGTGGTTTGCTCAAACCCAACTCCTCCACATTTTTCGCGGGTCATCAATCCGACAGTCATCGTCTCATCGTTTGCTCTTCAGAAGGAAGAATAAAAACTATTAGAAGTAATATCGTGATTTGTTCTTGGACCTTCTGTAATAACATTATTTTCGGTTATTTCTTGGCGTACGAATAAAGGATTCTTGAGTCGCCAATCAGTGCTTTGGTTTTTGCGTTGGTTACTACAAAGCGTTTCTGAAAGTCTTCAAGGGACAGCGTGAGTTTCAGCGTAGTAAGAGCTGGACATTGACAGTTTATGAGACTTGTCTTACACTATCTTTATCACATGTGAGAGGAAGTTATCCTCTGGAACACTTTTATAAAGTTTTTTGTGCAGCGTTTTCATAAATATATATATTCCGTACACAAAAGTTCCTTCTTTGCATGATCGGTGAGTTCGAGATCATTCGATCTTTGGCATTTAATGGTGCTTGAATTTCAACTTTGTCGGTTGAGGTCACATATATGAAGCGCTCCAACCCGCAGGAGAATATCATGCGTTTTTGACATCTTGAGAACTGAACATGGGCTTAGATTCTCATTGTAAAAAGCTTCAATAAATTCAAAAAACATTAATGATTGCACAAATCTAAATTATAAAAAATGCTTGTGTTCCTGACATCTACGAGCCTGCTCAGCTTCTTGTCAAGAGCCTACCAAATTGGCTCTTCACAAATTCGCCATATATCTTACAAGTCAGCATATCCCTTAGGTTCTGATCTCAAAAGCCACCTCTCTCGGAAATGTCACTTATGTACTTCACGACAATCCTTTTATCTAGTTACTAATATGCTCTATTTTGCCTCAACTCCTTTGGCCTTTAATAAAGCTGAAATTTACTTTTTCATTCACATTCTTCACTCGCATAGAGTCTGGTTGCTTTGACGAAGAAAAAACATAACAACAACACCCACGTTTGCGAATAACTATATTTTGATCGAAAACGTCATAGTTTTTCTGGGCAAGACCAATACGGTTTGCATCATACATTGCAAGTATGTAATATCATTTCAAGTAATCTATGGCTTCTTCTTGTATTTATCTCGTAAAGGCAATTCCAGTGATGTTTTATCCATTAATGCATTTGATTCCATTCTGAAGCTTCCCAGGACGTCCCCATGATATAATGTTCCGTCATGTGGGGACATAGCACTCACTCAAATATATGTTGTTTGTCGATTGGCCGTAAGTATCATCAGGGACTAGGATGAAGCTTTGTTGTTGCTAAACTTCGATGGTGACATTACCGAAGGGTTTACAATTTAACATTTATAAGAATCTGTTCTGATCGCTTGTACAATAATTCAACATTTTGAACCCATAAAATTTGCTAATCTTTGCTAATTCACAATAGTAATTGGTAAAATAATCGATCGTGCCTGTAAAACTGGCGTGTATTTCATGTAAGCTTATCCGTTTATACGAAATATATTGTTATTTGTGATGCGGTGCATAATATGGCTGGTCACGTATGGCAAGTTGTTCAAGGGGCAGTTGGGACTTGACTACTTATCCACAAACGCGTGGAAAGCCGAATCAGTTATTGTCTTCATTTTGATCAGTAACAAGCATTACATGTGTATGCGATAACTTTAATGGACAGTAATTATGCCGTCTGTCAGTCATTGGTGGACGTTTACGAGTAAATTGTTATAGATAAGTAGATCAGTGCCTATGGTAGGACTTGTAACGCTAGGGTGAGGCAAAATTCGTTGAAAGTGTTTCCGTTAACCTTCCTTCAGATAGTCGTATTTCTTACCGAAGGTTGCCCAAGGTTTTCCATTTGGAGCCTGTAAACTGAAGGTAGATTCCTTCCGGTGGTCTGCCTTTATGGCAGGAAGAGTGCTGACTGCAGCACCCATGCCAAACAAGAACCGGGTTTTATTAACCCTATCTCGAATGTAGGAAAGGCGACCACTGTCACCAGCTATAGCTGTAGCCTAGACATACTGGCTGGGTAGTTTCTATAGCCTCTGAATCTGTGTTTTCACTATCTCTTAGGTTTCTTATCACGGACTTCGTGGTACCAACAACACTGCGTGTTTCTAGGTGAACGTGGTTTAGATTTCGAGAAACAATATAAGTTTCCACGTTGGGGTTACTTTCATCGGTGATTAGAGAAAGTGCTTGGGCTATTTGACGTAAGTAGTCGCTTAACAGAACTGCATAATTCTGTCGTTTCAGAGATACTACTCCAAAGTTGTTTACCGATAAGGTCAATCCCAATACCTGATTGTCACTATACCCCCAGAATTCTATCAGCGGAAGCCTCTAAATCATCGATGATCACATCTTCAGTTGTCACAGACACAGGCTGCATTGGCCATGATAACCTTGATAAGAATAGCTCTCTACAAGGTCCCTCGTCGAATTCCCGTTAGCCTGTAAACTCTCGCACTCGTGAGAGAATATAAACGGCCGAATCATCACTCAACTCGACGCTGCGAAAAGTTCGTCAAGATGCTGCCAATTTGAGAGATCGTTTTTCTTAGGGATGGTTGCTTCAAGCTTCCAATCAGACGTACTTACCTCCTGGAGGGGACATATACGCGGTACCACACTTACTCAATTCCAGTAGTAGAGCGTGTATAGCTGCAAGGAAATGTGAGCGTTTGTCAGTGACTCCATGTTTGAGGAAATCGGCTTCACAGTGCAAGAAATATGTTTCTGGATTATCTGACCAAAACGGCACTAGGTGAAAAGGAGTGCTGGTTGGTTGCTTGTGAACAGGTTTATGTATATTGATAGTCATTAAAAGGATGTAAAATTTAATAAATATATCGGGAGAGCAAAACGGAACAAGCTCACCGTAACTGTTCGCACGTTTACCAAAGTGGATGAAGTTCGTAAGCAGACTAAATAGATAAGGGAGTGTTAGAACTTAAGTAGAATACGATATACACAACGCAACTTCTTATGCCGGCAACTCACATGTACTTATTCGGCATAGAGCAAATGCAAACAAAAACGTCATGTTTATTGCAGGAAAGACGGAATATATTTCAGGATCAAGACAGTCGGGCCATGATGAGTGCTTAGCTAAGTATCCTGCGAAAACAATCGAACGCAACACGATAGCTTGCCAGATGGCTCAGTTGCTTGGCTGCGAGCCTTCAGTTCAATGAGCCAACTTGAAAAGTGAAGGCCAGCACCCAGTATTGAGTGGTGAAAGCTGTCGGCTAATAATTTTGAGGAATTATTTATCTCTACGTATGTATTCAAGTCTGTACCTAATAGAAGCAGTAAGTTATGGTTGAGAATATCATACAAACTAATTCGTTATCACAACTAATAGTACGTATTTTTCAACTCGTTTTTTTATTTGACCAAATGAGAACCTGACTAGTAGGATGACTGTTTTTAGTTACAAGAGCAAAGACACCACACAGTCCGCTTCGGACATAACTAGTTACACTGTGTCCACCATATTTACTAAATATTAGAGCAGAAACTTGTAACATTAGAATACGACAGAGATAAGGCACTGTTCTAAGTCAGAGGAGTTAAATGTTCAGACTACCTGGTAACTAGGTCATTGGATTTTAGTTTAGAGTTAGGCGGGAAAACTTGGTGGACCTAAAGTTGAATATTCAAGGTCGCGGGGATTCTGGCGAATAGTGAGTTCTCATTTTCTTGTATGTTTTGTCGAAAGTTGGGACATAGTTTCAATATGTCAGGCATACTCAGGAAAGGTGTGTGGCGTTTTCATGATACTTTTTGAAACACAGTTCCTACGTATAAAATTATGAAGTTACGCCCGCAGTTCACAGAGTACCACTCCGAATTATGGTTAGAATACCACATTTTCAGATTTTATAGACTTCTTGGAACTGAAAATGTCCCACGCACACCCCAAACAATTCTTTATCCCGATCAAATCATGACTGTTGTTCCACTATGGATAAAACTTTTATTTTGATAAATTACACAGTGTTGTACCGTAACATTAGCAGTTAATATTACTGTGCAACACTGTGTGATTTATCAAAATAAAAGTCTTATGCACAATGGAGTTATGCTCTAACACAGTGCCCAAGTTTTATAATCATGTCATGACTGTTGTTCTAATTAGTATTTCATGATATCACTGTTACTCCTGTCAGCTGTAGAAATATGACTGGAAATAATTCTGTTAAAAAAGACTCAGAGGAGGTGAATAAAACGGCTTAATTCAAAGTTAGTGAGGAGAAGAGGCAAGTAGGAAGGTTTCTTTTCGTTCAAATACAATCGGCTGCCTTAAAGATCACTTTTCCAATGATATATGGTATTCAGTAAATATTCGTCCATTAATAGCTCCACTGTTTCCGGCTTGGACTATTAATGGATTCAAACTTATGGCGACTTCTCAAGTTAGACCTCTCAGTAGTATACAATCATACTTAGTCAAGACATAGGATTGTGAAATGTCGAGCTAATGGTTACCAAGTTACTCAAATAATTAGTGTATGGGAATGAATATTTAAACAGCTGCAATATTTGTCCCTAAAGCATTGTCGACTATGTCGATGTGGATATTTATTTTTGATGTAACCTTTACAGTTACAGAGCAAATGTCATTGGAAATGACTTTCACTGAGGTTGAATGACTGAATTTCAACGTAGAACTCAGCACAAACGTAGCAGTTCAAGTTACCACACTTCATATTGCCAAAAACGGCAGACAAAAGAGAGATGATGCGCCGGTATGCGTCACGCGTGCCTTAGTCATCTCAGTCGATTAACCTTCGCAACCTTACCGATTGATATACCCTTCCTATCTAAAACTACACTATATTACTACACTTAATACGTTAGATAGAATGCAAGTATTGGTGGTCAAGACAGCTAGCCGTATCATACATTCCATTTGCAATGGTCAGCACATACCTCCTTTGATGTGTGGCGACTTGAACTTCCGCACATGTGTGCAAAGTTCTATGTCGAAAACAGACAGACAGACCTCCTTTGATCAATAACCGGAAATCATGTCCACGCCGAAGATGAAACAGTTTTGTGAGTTGAATAATTAATTTTGTTAGCGCCATATGGGTGTCCATTAGAGCTGATGCAACTTCCTAAAATAAGTGAAATAGTCGGCATGTTCCATCACTTTATTCCTTCTCCTTAAGCTAGTTCAGTCCTGCAGCACCATCTTACATATGACAGGAGCGAGTCGCATATAAAACATTCGAAGATTTCCGCTTAAAGTGTTCAGAAGATTCTGCATTTTATCAGCGTCTTCACATAGGAGGGTAATATCATTCATATACTTCTAGTCGATAAGGCTATTCTCTGGTAACAAGTCAATCCCTAAGTTGCTGAAGTCAGTTAGGTTCAGTCCCATTAATGTATCTATGATGAAATTAAACGAAAATGGAAGCAATGGGCATCCCTGACGGACACCATTGGTTGGCATCACTTCACATGATAACACTCCGCGTGCTCTTACACGGCTATGTGAGTTCAACCGGAGTGCACTGAATACTGCGACATAGATTGAAAATATCTTTACGGGTAGACTGCCCCAGCACCTCTTGGTCAGTAGGATCGAATACCGCCTTCAGGTTAAGAAATATGGCAATTGTTGGACGCCGGCAAGTATGCCTACGTCCCAGAATCTGTTGAAGGGTGAACATAAGATCAATTCAGCCTTTGAACTAAAACATATCTGGTTTCTTCAAGTTTCTTTCTTTCCCGAGCACCACTTAGTCTGTGTATGATTATTAAACCCAGAACTTTAGGTGCTATATTAGTCGAGTTAGTCTCCCTGTCTGTCTGTCTGGATTCAACATAGAACTTGGCACCGAAGTGCACCAGTTCGAGTTGCCACGTTCCAAATAGCACACAGAGGTAGACAAGAAGATGAGTGAAGAGAATCAATAGAGTTTGACAAATATAAGAGTGAAACAGAATGGGTAATGGTAGAAAGGAATATGAAAGATTACAGAGACTGAATACATCTGCGCTGGCCATTGACAACGATTTTGAGCCATGTCACCTATTGTCTCCAGCCATTGATTCCTAGAGTCCCGAGGGCCCCAACCCGGGAGTCTGCATCTCCCTACCTGACTCAGTTTAACTGTCAAGGATTTCATGGATTGATGCCATGTTTTTGTTTGGCCACCACTGGCTCTTTTCCAACCTGCACCTATATCAGCTAGTAATGCCCGTCGGGGGAGGCGGTGGTTAGGCATGCGCAGCACGTGACCTAGCCATCTTAGTCTATGTAACTTTATAGCCTCGTCGATTGATTTTCCCTCTTTGCCCAACACTCTACGCCTAACGTCAACATTACTTACCTTATTAAACCACCTAACGTGAGACAGAGATCGCAGACATCTATGATCGAAAGCAGTCAACCTTTTCATGTCTTCAACGCGTATTGGCCATGTTTCAGAGCCATAGAGAAGGACGGAGCGAACTGATGAGCAGTACACACGTCCCTTGGTTGATAACCGGATGTCACGCCTACGCCAGAGATGGTGTAAGTCAGCGAAAGCAGCTCGAGCTTTTCGGATCCGTGCTGAGATTTCATCGCCAATCAGTCCGTTGGTGCTAATACAACTTCCCAAATAGGTGAAGTGGTCAACATGTTCTATCACTTCACTCCCTATCACTAAGTTAGGAGTTGACGTGGTCCAGTCCTGTAGCAGCATCTTACATTTTGTAGGGGCGAATCGCATGCCAAACATACGAAGATTGCTGCTCAAGGTGTTCAGAAGACTCTGCATTTTGTCAGCATCCTCCCCTAACAGGACTATGTCATCTGCATATTCTAAGTCCATAAGACTATTCCCTGGTAACAAGTCGATTCCTAAGTCATTACGTTCAGTTAAGGATACTTCCATCAGCATATCTATGATGAAGTTAAACAGAAATGGGGAAAGTGGACATCCCTGTCGGACACCACTGGTTGTTACCAATTCAGATGACAATTCCCCATAAGCCCTTACACGACTACGTGAGTTTGAATAGAGTGCCTTGATTAGTGCAATGTACTTTCTTGGCACTCCCTTCACAGTCAGACATTGCCATAGTACCTTTCGATCCACGGAGTCGAAGGCCGCCTTCAAGTCAAGAAATATGACAATTGTTGGACGCCGAAAAGTGTGTCTATGTTCTAGAATCTGTCGAAGAGTGAAGATATGATCTATGCACCCTCTACCTGGTCTAAAGCCTGCTTGATTTTCCCTTGTCTGTTCCTCCCGAGTTCTGCTTAGTCTATGCATGATTACTGAGCCTAGGATTTTAGAGACTATGTTCGTTAGGCTGATCCCCCTATGATTATCACACGAGGACTTGTTTCCCTTCTTGAATATCGGTATAATAAGTGACTTACCCCAGTCTGATGGCACTGTCTCTGATTCCCAGACTTTGCCTAGTACCTCAGTTAATCTACAAACTAGTATGTCACCCCCATATTTAAACACCTCCGGAATAATTCCGTCGGGTCCTGCCGCTTTGCCTCGTTTCAAATTACTGATAGCTTTTGTGACCTCACTTACAGACGGCGGACCAGTGTCTATATCCCATTCGGGTGTGGTGGATGGCGGGGAGGTTCAGTGTGGCTGTAGGCAAGTTAAATTGTTCCTCAAAGTGTTCTTTCCAGCGTTCAAGGCGTCTATCCTGAGAGCTAATTAAGGAGCCATTTTTCTCAGAAATAGTCTCACTTATGAATTGCCTTCTCCCACCCGTTTCCCTGATGAGTCTAAAGAGTTGCCTAGTGTTGCCTATCGCCGATGCTTTTTCCATCTCTTTCGCCTTTGTCACCCACCACTGTTCACGGTCCTTGCGGAGACTTTTAGTAAGTTTCCTTTTGTGCAGCTTTCGCTCCTCATTGAATTCGGAGCTCGCCGGAATAAGTCTTCTAGCATCTATCAGTTCGGATGAGGCAGTCGAAATCCAGTGGTTTTTACTCACCTTTGGATTTGCCTTATTCACAGCTTTTACAGCTGTATCTATAGCTGACTGAATATTCTTCCAGGCTTCTCCAGGGTGAGCACAGCTGTCGAATTCAGATATGCGTTTAGCTAGTTCTTCCTCAAATAGGGATTTAGTTTCCTGATCGAGCTGGGGACGTGATGGTTTTACCGCCAGCTGTTTCCTACGTCCGTTCAGTCGTAAGCACACACGAGCCCGGACCAGTGCGTGATCGGTATCTACACACGTGTTCCAGAAGGAGCGACAATCTCCTACCGACCCACGCCAACGATAGCTTATTGCTATGTGGTCTATTTGTGTCCAGCGTTGGTTTGATGATGGGGGTCGCCAGGTTAAACAGTGTCTCTCCTTGTGTTTAAAGTTAGTGCTTACAAGAAACAAATGATTATCTGAACAGAACTGTAGGAGACGGTCACCGTTGTCGGTTCGCTGGCACGGAACTCCATAGGTGCCACCGACATCCTTCTCAGATTGACACAATTTCCCTACTTGAGCGTTAAAGTCACCAGCTAGAACGACTATATCTGAGCGTTTAGCCTTTCTCACCAAACTAGACAGCTTTTGGTAGAACTCATCCTTCGTTTCATCCGAACTGCAGTCAGTGGGGGCGTAGGCGGAGATTACGAAAAGGCATCGGCGAGTAGTGCAGTCCTTTCTCCTTCTTACTGATCCGTTCAGACGGACAGCACACATTCGG